GAGTGTGGATCCCGAACGATTGGGATGACGATCTTGTGGGACATCTGATACGCAACCTATGCAATGGCGGAAGAGAAGCATATTTTTCACTCTTCCTTATTGGGAATCTAATTTGCTACGACACAGTTTGGATGTTATGCACATTGAAAAAAATATGTGCGATAATGTGCTATATACGTTGCTCAATGAAGCTGGAAAGTCCAAAGACCATCTCGCAGCTAGAAAACATTTACGGGCCTGGGGAATTCGTGAAGAGGCTTGGCCTGATGAAAACGACAAGTTTCAGCCAGCTAAATTCACCTTGACAAAGCATAACAAGGATATCTTCCTCTCGACGTTGAAGAACATAAAAGTACCAGATGGATATTCTAGCAACATCTCAAGGTGTATCGATCTGCAGGCTCGAAAGGTTACTGGGTTGAAAAGTCATGACTCTCATGTTCTTATGCAACAGTTACTTCCATTGGCCTTGAAAAACACACTTCCTTCTGATGTATCGGTGGTTTTGGTAGAATTATGTTCATTTTTCAAGAAGTTGTGTGCGAAGGTCTTGGTAGCGAAAGAGCTTGATCAGCTGCAAAATAAAATTATTCTTACACTTTGTCACTTGGAGATGATATTTCCTCCATCATTCTTTACTGTTATGGTTCACTTGACTGTCCACCTTGTTCGAGAAGCAAAGGTTGCTGGCCCAGTTCACTATCGATGGATGTACCCTATAGAGAGGTACTAGATTATCTTTTATTCCCGCCTCTTTAAATTTCACATTGTTCTTTCATTTACTCGTAATTATTAATGCAATTTTAACTTACAGGTACTTGGGAAAATTAAAATCATATGTTAGGAATAAGGCATGGCCTGAGGGGTCAATAGCAGAAGGTTATTCCGGAGATGAGGTCCTAACTTTCTGTTCGAGGTACTTTGATGACATGGAGACATCTTTTAACCGCCTGCATCGCGTAGATGATTCTCCTCCTGGTCCTTCCACGTCAACTTTATTTCCTCCTGTTAGGAAACCAGTTGGATGATATGAATTCTTCAGACTCACTCCTACAGAGAAACTCCAGGCACACAGACACGTTTTGATAAATTGCTGCCAAGTTGAACCCTTCATGCAGTAAGTATATATATCATATAAGCTCACTAGCTTTTACACTTTATATTTGTTTCTTACTGACTCTTCTAACAAATTACACTTTACTATAGTGAGTTTAGGAGTTATCTCAGGCGTCAGCTACGGGGCCGTGCGCGTTCTGCTGACATTGATAAAAGAGTCCACAAAGAGTTTCCCAGTTGGTTTACACGTCGAATACGTAATGACAACAGCCCATACACAGATGAATTCAAAGCTCTTTCTCTCAGTCCGTTAGACCATGCACGAAGGTTTACCGCGTACAATGTCAACGGCTTCAAGTTCTGTACGGTTGGACGTGATTAGGTATTGCTCACACAAAACTCTGGAGTTTGCGGGACATTCGGAACGAGATGTTATGCTAGCAGTAGTGATGGCGATATGCGCTTTGGAGGCGTCACTTACTATGGAAAGCTAATTGACATTATTGAGTTGAGTTACCAGCTTTTCACCGTGACATTGTTCAAGTGCTCCTGGGCAAATACGACAACTTCACGGGGACTCGTTACTGACCATTTGGGCATCACCTCAGTTAATTTCTCTAGACTTATTCATACGGGGGCATCTGAAGATGATGAGCCATATATCCTTGCTTCTGAGGCACACCAAATTTACTATATCGAGGATGAGAAATATAAAGACTGGAATATGGTCGTTCACCTCAAGCCACGGGATCTTTATGATATGGGTGATGGTGACATTATTTACGACAGTGAACCCTTCCAACCCTCGAATTTTGAAGACTTCTTTCCTCAAGGAGATGATAATTTACCAATTATCAGGTACACGTCTTTTCTTAAATTATTTAAATAATTTACTACTAATTACTAATTTTTTCCAAATACATTATAAATTTAACAAATTTTTTTAAAATGTGTCCTTTCAGGCCGGATGATGATGGAGAATAGCAGCATCCAAAATAAATTATTAAAAAAAATTTCCGTCCATAAATACATATGTATAAATTAAAATTCGTACAGTTTTTTTAAAAATAAAAAAATTTTAATTTGTAGCGATTAAATAACCGCTACAAATACATATCTATAAATTAAAATTCATTTAGATATTTAAAAATAAAAAAATTAAATTTGTAGCGGTTATTAACCGCTACAAATATATATCTATAAATTAAAATCCGTTCACATATTTAAAAATAAAAAAAATAAATTTGTAGCGGTTATTAACCGCTACAAATATATATCTATAAATTAAAATTCGTTCATCTTTTTAAAAATAAAAAAAATTTAATTTGTAGCGGTTATTAACCGCTACAAATGAAACCGCTACAAATTACTAGCGGTTATATATACGCTAGAAAATGAATAACAGCTACAAAATGCAAAAAAATGCTACAAAATAACCGCTACAAATGTGTCGTTGATCTCTATAAATACCATATCTACTCTACATTTATTTACTCCATCCCTTTTCTTTCCTCTCCTATTCTTCTTCATAATTCTCTCTTTTTTTCTTACTATCTCATATGGTGGTTTCTTTCTCCTTACTGTATGGTAAGTGAATTTTATTTTATAATTCATTGTATCTTTTATTTGTTTTTATTTAAAATTTACTAACATATTTATTTCTCCTTTTCTTTCAGATTTTTCTTCTCCACACTTGTCATGCCCTCCTCAACTGATTCAAATACTCCTCAACCTAACACTATAGGTTCAATATTACAAAATATATCATCTTCAATTCAACTATCTTATTAAATATTCAATTAAATTATCTTATTAAATTAAATTCACTTCTTTTGACACATTCATAATTTAATTACATATTGTTTATTACAAAATTTAAATATATAAAATGTAACATATTTTTAATTATACAAATTAACAAAAATTCTTCAACATAATTTATTTAATGGTTTTTAAAATTATTATATGAAAAACCAAAAATTTTTTTTCTGGCATGGTAAACATTTCTAGCGGTTACGAACCGCTAGAAATATTTCGTCAAATTTAAATTTTGTGCCAAAATTTCTAGCGGTTCAAACCGCTAGAAAATTTTTTTGCCGCTATTCCAGAAATTTAATTGGCGGGAAAATTTAATTTTCCAAACATTTCTAGCGGTTTTATAACCGCTAGAAATTTCCGCGCACTACTGAAATTATTTATTTCCCGGCAAAATTGATTTGGTTTAGCATGTTTCTAGCGGTTATAAAACCGCTAGAAATTTTATTCCGGGCACACTTTCTAGCGGTTTCATAACCGCTAGAAATGTTTTTCCTTTATATATTTTCTAGCGGTTATAAACCGCTAGAAATTTTCTAGCGTGTTGACCATAATGTGTAGCGGTTACCATAACCGCTAGAAATTTTTTCTTGCGCCTGTTTTTCTAGCGGTTTTGTTAACCGCTACAAATGTTATTTGTTGCGGTTAAAACCGCTAGAAATGTATCACTCTAACCGCTACAATTGACATATTTTTTTGTAGTGATCTTATTAAATTCAATTCATTTGACACAATTATAATTTAATTACTTATTATCTATCACAAAATTTAAATACATAACATGTAATACATTGGTAAATACACATATTAACATAATTCTCTAATATAATCTATTTAATGGTTTTTTAATTGATAATATTATATTTTATAATAATGAAAAATTTGAATTTTATTTTTTTCACCTAGAATGAATTTTGTAGCAGTTCAGAAACTGCTAGAAAAATAAAAAAAAGTGGAAAAAAGTTTCTAGCGGTTTTGAACCACTCGAAAATTCGTCGCATTCTTGTTTTTTCCTACAGCTCATGGAACTGCTAGAAATTTTCTGGCGTTTTGACCATACTATGTAGCGGTTCCTTTAACCACTAGAAAATTGTTTCTTACACTTGATTTTCTAGCAGTCCTATCAGGTTAAAAGAGGAGAAAAGTCAAGAAAATGCATGAAAAAGGGATAAAATAACCCTAATAATGCCTCATTTTCACACTAACAAAATTCTGGTCAAATGATTGAGATTCTGGCTGAAACTTGACAGACTTATAGACTATATCTTTAGTTTTAAAACAAGTGGTATTTCATCAAATTTGGAGCTTTTTTTACAAAAAGTTATGACTATCTAAAGTTAGGCACAAATTCTGAAAAATTGAAAATTTACCATACGAATAGTACTACTTTGTGTTAATTCTGGGATTGATTGAAAAGGTCTTGATACCAGTGAGTATTTTCACTCTAAAGATCATATTAAGATCTTTAAATGGAACTTAGAACCACCTCATTTTTATTTTTCTAGAATTAATTATGACTTTTCAAAGTTTGGCCTTAGTTAGGGTTACATGAATAGTAACCCGAATTTAATGAATTTCAAATTTTAAATTTTTCTAACCTAAGGCCATAAAAAATGGTTCCAAGTGATTCTATTTGAGATATAATGTGGTCTAAAAGGAAGGCGTGATAGGAGTATAGTATAGTGAAAGATGCTAACATTTTAAAAATTTTCTTCCTAAAAAATGGATGAAAATTTCCTTTTTAAAATTTTTTTTTGGCCAAAACAATCTAATAAGTTTTCACACTAGTATTGTGAAGGATTCATACGTGGAAAACACCCATGCTCAAATTTAGGTCGTTCTGATTAATAAAATTTTTAAACATTAACTTTCTCTGTTTTTTTTTCCCTTCGCTCTTTTTCTCCAAAATTAAAAAGTTAAAGTTAAAAAAAAAAAAAACGAGTGCCATAACCTGCAGCCTTCTGCCTGTCATTCTTCACCTTCTTTTTCCTTTTAATGAAGCCCTGCAACATTATATACATAGAAAGAAATATTAAAACTTTTTTCAGAATAAACACATGCAAATCTATACGACAATCCCGACTAAGGGGAAAAAATGACAAGCCTGCTTTCTTACCAATGCTTTAACATTATGGAGTGATACCTATTGTAGTTCCTTCATCGTACACCAGATAGATTAAAGTCTTCTTCACAATATGCTTTTGGGCAAAATTGACCATAATTTCTATCTCATTATCAGGCTCTAGAATAAGTATTATTTTGTGCCAATTATCATCAGCAGAAGTCGTTGCATCATCTCTCTTGTAAAAGTCCATAGTACCCTTTGTAAAATTCTTTATCATGAAGCCAACAGGATATGCGGATGCCACCATGCTATCTTGAGAAGATGAATAGATAATATAGATTATCATTCCTCTTAAACTACGACCAACAACTCGAGGCATTTTAAATGATGCAGAAGATCCTTCACTCTCAAAACATAGCCAATCAGAATAATTATCTTGAGGAAGCTGAGAATAGTCAAACCCTTGGTCACTCCATCCCTAATCCATGAACCAAGAATAGAATTGAGAATAGATGAAATTTATTGCCAGGGTTACTAAGGATTTAATTGAAAATACATTACCAGTGTTCTAGCTAATTTATTTGTTTATTTAATTAATATGATGACCATTTCCAATTACTTTCTTCCCAAATGAATAGTCTATTAAATTTAAAAATTCTTGTAATCGCCTTGAATACACATCTTTACACACATATTGGCATAATTTATGCATAGGTGGCAGTAGAGAGATAAAGAAATTACCTGTGAAATACTCTTTAATAGTGCGTCCACGACTTTGTTGAATCCGCCTAAATGAATAGTTAAAGAACTCATGGATGTCGTCTCTAACCTTTCCACGTGAGATTGCTCATGAAAGCCAATTAACGCTCGAGATGTGCTTGGTCTTGCTTCTAAGGCTTCACGACTTCTAACAAATAAAGGATGTGATAGACCCTTGATTAAAGATGGCATGATGCTAAATGCTCGTAACAGGGACTTTGAATGAATTGTTGGTGACATCCAAGACAAAACAATGGATGGGAATGCATCACGTGGTAATCCTTCATAGTCACATACAGACACATATTTAATACTTTTCATTCCCACTAATGAGTAGGGAACTTGTGTAATAGAAGTTTGATTTGCCACCAAAGTCATCAAGGATTCCATTTGCCCAATGTCTTCTTTCAGCTTTTTAATCTTTGAACAACCAAAAAGATTTAGAGTTTCCAAAGATTTCAATTTGTATAGACCTTTTGGGAGATGATTGAGGCCTTTGCAGTCTTTCAAATTTAACAAAACAATATATTTAAGATCTCTAATGGAGGGATGAATCGAAGACAAGAGGGGACAATCTTTGAGTACCAACTCTTCAAGATATGGTAACTTTGAAAAGTCAGGTGTCTTTGTCAAATAATGACAATGACTCAAATTGAGAAGTTTCAACCACTCTAACATCTGCACCAAGGAAACATTTTAAAATAAATCATACAATAAATGGAAAGAATAAGATATAAGGAAACAAATTAATACAGCTATTGTTGCTTGTGTTTGATTTGAAAATTTCATTATGAATACCTGGCTTTTCTCCCATACTGTTGTGAGATTACTCCACTTTAAGTCTATGGCAACAATCTTTTCTAGACGCAAATTTGTTGGCAAGTTTTCTGAAGGAAATCCACGCCAACAAAGCCATCTTAATTCTTTTGATAGATAACCAAAGTCTCCATCAAGTTTTACATGATCAAGTTGGAGCAAATGAAGATTCTTTATGTTCTCAAATGCTTTGGCACTCAACGCCATTGAGTTGTTTGTTGACATGTTTAAAGCCAATCCCGTAATCGCGTCTGTTCCCTATTAAAGTAGAAAATAAATAACAGAAAATAAAAACTAACGAAATATTTCACTAATTGAAACATAACAGAATACAAACAAACAACGTATGATAGATGTTTGAACACACAGTAGTCAACTTAAAAAATGAGACTGCAAAATGAGAAATGAAAAAAACAACATTAACAATATAATTGTAAGTCATTGAGAGACATTCTTACTGAGCAATTTGTTAATACATCTAGCACATCGTCATGAAACCATAATCTGCTCCACTTCTTAGGATCCTTCGGTGATTTCTCACGAATGATGTGTCTTCCCATGTTACATAGCAAGTCATGCATATCAAGCTTATTTCTCTTACCAACTTTTACAAGGCTCCTCTCTACCAGACGAATAATTCCAATATCAGCATGAAGTCCACAACCATTTAATATTTGTGTAGCATAGCTTTTGTCCTTCCCAATAAAAAAACAACATACATCAAGGAATATATCTCTCTCTGCTTGGTCACTCAGACCATCATAACTTATTTTTAGCTTTTCATGTATTTTATTATTTGGAATTTGTTGTAGTTTTTCTAAAACACTTCTCCATATTGATGCTTCCCTATCAAACAAATAGGAGCCAAGAACTTCCAGAGCTAGTGGCAGACCTCCTGAGTAAGAAACTATCCTTCTTGAAAATTCAACAAAATCTCTTTCAGGAAATGGTTGCTTAAACGCATGCCAACTAAAAAGCTCAAGAGATTCATTGTCATTCATTTCTTTCATGTTGTATATTTTATGTTCTCCAACTCCAAGGATTTTGAGTAGCCGTTCATCTCTAGTAGTGATGATTACTCTACTACCTTGACCAAACCATTCGTGACTTCCACATAAAGCTTTCAACTGATCTTCATCATTTACATCATCAAGAACAAGAAGCACCCTTTTCTTATAAAGCATTTTCTTGATTAGAATTGTCCCCATTTCTATACTTGTAAGCTGCACTCTTCTCGCATTAAAGATGCTTGAAAGAATTTGATTTTGCAGATAAATTTGACCATTATCTTGCTTCCACACTTCCCTCACATTTGAGAGGAAACTCTTTCCTTCAAAAGTTTGACCAATTTCATTGAAGATGGCTTTAGCAATAGTAGTCTTACCAATCCCCCCCATCCCCCATATCCCTACTATGATAACCTCATTTGATTTATTAATCAGCAACTTGATGATATCTTGCACACGAGGCTCTACTCCCACTGGGTGGTGAGCAACAAACAAATCGTCTTTGTTGTCTAGCTTCATTGTAATAGTGTCAACCACATTGTCAATCAACTCCGTTTCAGTTCTGGCAAAAACAAATTACATTTATATCAGGATCAATTTTGGCGTTTAAGTATTAATCTTGAGTACTAACAATTCTTTTCTAAATGGTTGGATCAATTTCCTCTTAACACATGTTAGCTAAAATTTGTTTAAATGTTCTTGTTATATATGAAACTAAATTCAAATCCCTCTCCTGTTGCATCTTCTCTATGAAAATTACAAAAAGCTGTAGCAATTGTGCTAGCTACGTACATTCTTTTTAAGATTCATTATTCAGAGCTCATTGTGTGATTTGTAAGAGTAATTAAGCAGCTTGATCATTTATAATATCACAGTTACAGCCCAGTATTTCCCCCCCCCCTAATAACATTGTTTTCAACATATATTGAAGCGCATATCACCAACAGGAACTTAAGGAATTTAACGGGCTTAAGTACTAAAAAGGAATTATGTCGAACTTACCTCCATTCATGCATGTCCCACCCAGATATATTCGCAGCTTCAATGAGTGCTCTCTTCCAACTGATCATCGATTTCTTCACTTTGCTAGTTGAGTTTCTTAGTGTGAGCCTTTTCCATGCTTCTCCAAAGGTATTTCGTTGTTTACGAACATCAGACGGTTGCACATCGTAAAATATTGGTAAGACCTCTTGATGAGTTGTTTTGCGACACTCCATGATTTTCTCTAATTCTTGTAAGCACCAACTAGAGCCAGCATAATTTTTTGAGAATATAATTATCGACATTCTAGAACTTTCAATTGCTTGCAGTAAAGAGGAAGAAATGGCTTCACCCCTTCCAATCCCCTCTTCATCGATGAAGACCTCAATACCTGCTTTCTTTAGAGCGGTGTAAAGATGAGTAGCAAAAGATTTACGTGTATCTTCACCTCTAAAACTCAAGAATACTTCATAGGTATACTCATGCTTTATCTTTTTATGACTTATTTCTCTTCCTATCTCTCGCAGCAAATGATGAACAAGAAGCCTGTCGCTCCCATCAACTTTTACAAGTCCCCGCTGTATAATCTCATGCATTGCCTTTTCCACAGGAAATCTTGAGCCCTTTAACAATTGTGAAACATCGTCTTTATTTAGACCCACATAAAAGGAAGCTATATTAAAGAACAATTCTTTTTCTGAATCTGTTAAAAAGTTAAAACTTATCTTGAGTTTCTCCTGTATTTGGTCATGAGGAATTCCTCTCAATTTCTTCAGCACATTATTCCACTCTTTTTTGGTCCTATTATACAAAAGAGAGCCAATAACTTCAAGAGCCAGTGGTAGTCCTTTACAAAAACATATTCCTCTCCTTGATAGAGACATGAAATCATTTTTTGGAGAAAATTCCTTAAATGCATGCCAGCTGAAAAGCTCAAGAGACTCACTCTCATCCAGCGTCTTCATTTCATAAAGGTACAGTCTGAGACCAAAAAGAAGATTCTTATTCATTGATGTAACAAGTACCAAACTCCGTTCGCCAAAGCACAGATCACTACTTCCACATAATGCTATGACTTGGTCTATATGATTCACATCATCAAATACTACCACTGCACTCCTGTAGCAGAGTGCCTTCTTCATTTGATGAGTTCCTATCTTAACACCATGAACCATATCAAGTTCTGTTTCAAAAACATCTGAAATAAGTTGCTGTCGTAGATGAACTAGACTATTATCTTTCTTCCATTCATCATTGATATTTGCAAGGAAACTTTTTCTCTCAAACCTGCCACCCATTCTATCATAAATAGCTCTGGCGAAAGTGGATTTACCAATACCTGCAACTCCCCATACTCCGATGGAGTAAGTCCCACCCATCAACAGACGAAGTACATCTTTCACACGACGGAGTAACCCCACTGGATGGGGCGGAAGATTGCAAAACAAGTATTTGTCTAATTCCCCCTTAAGTTTACCCATTTCTTGCCTGGACAAAAAGATTTAGAATCAGTAAAAAGTTACGTATAATGTATGCACGTATTTAAGTATCAAATTTTATATATTAGAATTTGATTAACAAAACTCACTCTTTCACTCAACAGATTAAGTTTGATGAAATAGGTGACACAATCATACTCATTCGTACCAAAAGGAGACACAATAAGAAACAAATATCAGACTTCAGTTCTATTTATTTAGTTTCTAAAGGACCCGCTACCACCAATGCTTTAAGATGAACTTTCAATTCCACAAGAGCAGAAATTTCTTCTCATTAGTAACTAGTAAGATCAGGGATTTTGAATGCTGTTGCTTTTTTCAACTTCTCACATGATCTAAACGTGCATCTAGCAAATCTACATCAAAGTATTAGCAAAGACTTTTATTGACGGATTATTTAATTATTTGAGGGAATCAAATTTTTCATCTAGTATTTGATACTACCTCTGGTTCATAATATAATAGCTAGTTGACTAATTTGAATAGACTAAGAAAACTAATTAAGTTAGTTATTTATATATATAAAGGTTGTCTTTCTTAAAATATCCTTATTAATCAAGTGTATTGACTAGAACTATTATTATTACAATGACTGCTTTGAAAAAAATGGCTAAATATGAGAGATAAAGTAGATTGGGATCTTATATTTAGAACTAAAATAATAGTCAAACAAATTCTTATATTAAGGACTGGAGGTAGTATATGATACTACTTGATTAGATTTAAGCATTGTTGAGCCTAAATGGAGTACTGCTTTCAAAGGAATCTTTTGTATTCAGATGAACTTGAACTTATGATATGGTTAGGACTAACACCTATTGCTATGGAATCAAAGTTTGAGAAATCAATTTTTGTGTAAATTGCGTAACTTTTTGGTTTCTAATTTTATTTATCTAATGAATATTTTAATTGCATGCAAATACTTTTAATATTACTTACTTTAGAATAAGTTCAATTTGATCCGTTAGGGACCTTGCGATCGAATCAAAGAGTTGTAATTTGATGTTTTCGCCAATATAAAAACCTGTTCAAATTCTTTAAATGTTGTTCGGCTTAGTTAGAGTCGGTCGAAGACCAGTTAAACCGATTAAAAACTGCACCAGCAGTTAAAACCCAAACCGATCCCAGTTTAAAATTATACCAATGTAAAAAAGGGTATTATTTAATACTTGGGGCCATGTGCTGAAATTTTCACCTTATCACTATGAAGTTTCTACGGTAAGAAAGTCTTTTTACCATCTGTCGATTTGGAATTTTATTGGCATGGGACTGTTTTGCAGTTGAAATACATGTAAGTGTTAACTCCAAGAAATTCATATCTTTTTAGCACATTTTGCTCCTTAACTTCCTGTTTTGAGAGTTAAATTGGGCATAAAAATAGAGCTATTGAGGAAAATATGTTTAGTTTAGCTTTTTAGAACGCTCTTGAGATAATTGTGATTATTTGGAGTTGTTTAGAACTTACACATTTCTCCTTTAAGTAGGAGGATGGGGACCAGTGTTTTCAAGCCATATAGGACACCCTTGAAGAGTAGATTAGCTGGAAGGAAGCATGAAAGAGCTCTAAAGACTAACACAGAAAACTCTCATTTTTCAGTGCATTTGCTATTGGTTCGCCATAACCATTGCTACAGCTAACGAAAGGAAAATGCAGCACGAGAGGGGTGAAATTTGTGGCTATTCGCTGTTGATTCGTCATTGTCAATTCATAGCGAATGAAGAAAATCTGTCGCTATGCGTTTTGATTACTGATACACTATTAGGGTTAAATGGGAGGAGAAAAGTGATGCTTGGACAACTCTGGACGAGGAGAGGCGATTTCACTCTGCTAGAGCTTGGGAGAAAGAGGTTTTGAAGAGTTTTGGAGCCTTGGAGTGGATTTTTTAGGGGATTCTTGGAATTTCTACTCGGTTTTTCTGCTTTTCTTCTCTGCTCTACTTTTAATTTGATATGACTGAGACATATTTGTATAGTTTTGGTTCATTTTGGATAATGAGTAGCTAAACCCTTGTTCTAGGGTTGCTTTGAACTATTGTATGGATTAAATTTAATTTATTCCTCTCTTTTAGTGATTAATGAAGTTATGTGTTAATTTTACCTTGTGCTTATTGCTTCTAAGTGTTTGATCACCACTTATGTTGTTTGTTTCAGTTGAAGGGAGCTTGAGAGAGTCCTTTTGGCTGTAGAACTTAGGTAGAATTGTGTTAGTCTTGAAGTTTTTAAGTAAATGGATGGTTTGCTAGTAGGGTAGAGATATTCCTATTAACCTAACATTGCTAAATTAAGGTTAGGATTTATTGGGTTTCTTTAATTGACATTAAACAAGAGATTGTATTTGCTAATTAGAGTTACTAAAAAAATTGGTTTTGACTTGAGAAAGCTTAATCATTTGATTTTGAGCCCTTAGCAAGCACTTAATTTTGTTATTAAGCTAATTGAGGGGAAATAATTTGGGTTTTATGAAATACAATAGGGAAAAGCAACCCTAGGTCCCTTTAATCGTGAATTTGAATTTCCGGTCTAGTTTTCTTTGAGTTTAACTTAATTTGTTTTTCAATATTTTGATACAATTGCAATCACTTTCAAGATTATTTTTAAGGTCAACCTAATTAAAATCATGTTTGTGAAAATCAATCCATTTTTGCTTTAGTCTTCGTAGGAACGACACTTTTCTTACCTATACTATTTGTCAACGATCCGTGTGCTTGCGGTTACACTGGACGGCGAATAGTAAGAAACATAATTTAAGATTTTTAATCAATCTTAACCCATTGCTTCAGTTGTTTGAAAGTTCAGTAGTCTAGGGTGTTATCTGGCTCTAGAAATTTCTTATGGTGTCGGTTTGCTACAGGCCGCCATTCCATTTTGGTTATGTGATCTCAATGTTTGCTAACAGATGTGTCTTAAATTTCTATGTTTTCATAACTCTTGGTTTGAGAGCTCAAAAGTCATATTTATATATTAATCATAATGCTTACTTGTATTTGATCCTTGTGTTTGACATCCATCACACACTTAGTCTCGCTAGTTTTGGGCTCAAGTGACATGCTACCACCCACACAACTCATGAAGAAGGTAGTGAATAATTTTATAATCTAAAGTGGCAAAATTGGGATAGGTGCGTGTGTGCAACTCTCTCCACTAAAAGGTCATATTGTCTTAAATAAAAAACAAATTGCAAACAAAGCTCTTGTTTTTCTTCGGTCAAAATATACAATAGGTACGAGTACTAAAACCATGGCGAAAATCAGCAAAACATGAACCATCTAAAAGTTAATGGTGATCAACCCAAAATTCATCTATAATTTCGTTTGAGATATAGAATGAGGTTGACCTGTGCTGACCCGCTTCATCTGGATTTTTTTTTTTAATTTATCTCTTTCTTATCAAAATTCCCCGTTCTTACCATATGATCAACCACTAACTTATCCCACCTAGATGAAAACCCTACGTTGGATGGAAAGAAAAGTTTGAAAAAAGGAAAATAAGAAGAAAAATGAGATGAGAGAACTGAAAAGTGTTATTAATTATCTTATTTGGATGAACAAAAGAGAAAAAAAAAAAAAGAATGACAATGAGATAATCATATTGATATTAATGTCATATTTAAAATCAAACAAAATGTAACGATGAGATAATCATATTGATATTTAAGTCATAAAATAATTTGAATATTTGTGATATATTGACGAAATTAAATTTAAATATTCTACTATTTTTATTAAATAATATAGGAAAAATCACAAAAAAGCGTAAAAATTGTGAAATTGCAAATCAGGTATTCTCTTAAGAATGTGTTGTCATTTGCAATCCAATTGTTGTCAAGACTTATGAAAGTATTGTAATGGATCCCAATTTATTATGAAAATGTTAAAAATATTTAAATATTAAGTAATAACAAATATTTTAATATTTGTTTTGCATTTGAGGTATTATCTTTCCCGATGACACCAAAAAAATGCTGCCTTCTGCTAGCTTGCACTCATGAAAGTATTGCTAGATCTCGAATGACTGACAAATATGATGAAGAGCGGCGGACACGACTCGCGAGCATAGAAGAGGAAGGAGTACCTTTCCTTCCCATTTTCTCTCCATATGTTTAAAGAGAAAATGAGATGAGTTCTACATCTAATTTTCTCTCTTATTTCTCTCTTACTTTTCCCTACTCCTCTTTTCTCCTCTCATTCAATTACAAGGGAGAACTTACCTTCTTCCTAATTTTTCCATCCCCATATTCTCTCCATCCAAACACATGGTAAATCAAAACCAAGCAGATCCAGACTGATATAGGAAAAGTAGTATAGTAGTTATTACCTGAGATCAGTGGACAGTGTGACGCCGGATTGCGAAGCAGCTTCGACGGCGATTCCAATCCAGTCCAAATCCTTATACTGCGTTGCCAAATGCTCAACCACTTGCTTTCGTTTCGCTCCCCAGAATACAGGAACCACTGGTCTGTTCGCAGATTTGTGATACTCCATTACTTTCTGCAGCCTCTCAATAAATAACTTGTCGGAGGTACTGAGAAACTCCGGCGTGAAAATAACCATAAGAATTGTCGACCTTTCCATAGCCTCCAGCGCGGAAGACAAAGACGTAGCCATCGTTGAAGGATTTATACAGTCTGCAAAAAGTTTGATGGCATCATCTCTTAGAGATCCTACCAGAAACCGAAAGTCTGGGAGGCGATGTGTGGTCACTTGGGAAATTGCGAAGACGTCGTAATGGGTAGTCAATTTGGGTTTGGAGGACGAAGAAGCCAAGGAAGACATAATTGTTGTGAACGGAGAAATGAACTCGGATTTGCCTCTACTGGTGGCTCTACTGGTAGACAAATAATGGATCCCTTGATGTAAATAGAAGAGCTCGAAAGCAAAGTTTTCAACTTTCTTTCTTTCTTTTTTGCCCCCTTCCAAACAAAATGTTGGGAGAATAAAATAGACGGACCATGGAAGGAAACTAAGGGCCTGTTTGTTTACCTATTCTGAAAACAGTTTTTTGTTTTTAAAAACAAAAAAATAAAAAATCTTGTTTGACAAGTTATTTTTAGTCTACTGTTTTTAAAAACAAAAAGGTAAAAATTTGTTTTGAAAAACTAAAAACAGAAAACAACTTTTAGATGTTTTTAAATTTTTTGTTCTGAACTTCCTAATTTCTTGTTTCAAAAAATCGGGCGTGACCTTTTTTCTCAATCGGACACTTTTCTTTGCTCGACAGTGAAATAAAGAAGGTTTTAGAGTTTCAATCCTTGATAATGCGGTGGAGAGACAAATTCTGGTTTCATTCTATTCTCATTTTAAATAGAATCAAGCCAATAATGTCGAACAATATCGTCCCACACAAAAGCGGCAAAACTGGGAAGGGGATTGGATGAAATGGATTAAAATTAAAATAAAAAAAACCATACTTTTAATTAAATAACTTATCTCCAGTTTCTCGTGTTCCAAACCTTACTTTTAGAAACAAAAACAAAATGGTTCAGCACTTCGAAAATTTGTTAAAGTAATAAAGCAAAAGCAACAGAGCCTCACCTTCTGAGTCATCTTCCACACCCACTAAAAGGCAAGACGTATTGTGCTCTAATAATTAAATCGGGAATTAGTGGCTGGCCCAAAAACCAAGGTTAGTGAGGAGTTTACTCGGGTTTAGCCCCCTGCAATGCTCCGGACATTTATTAAACTTTTTAAGGGACGGGGTTCAATTAAATGATAAAAATGTACTTTCCTTTTGTGTTTTTCAAAAACAAATTATGTGTTTTTCACCTTATTTATAAGAAAAAATCCTTTGTTTTATGCATTTATGAAAAATTTCTTTTCATGCCTTTAGAAGGACCATGGAAGGATATTTGATAATACGGACCTCAAAATTGTACAATTAAGAAGAACGATTTCATTTTTTCAAAAAATCAAATGGGTACGCCTTCATGTCCTTGCAGTAAATGTTCGTGTCTTTTGTAAATTGCGAGAAATGAAGAAAAACTTGTTGAAAAATTCCTGTTATTTTGTTGCTACAAAATTTGTGAAGTGTCCATATTTTACTGAATCCGTTTTAGTGCTCATCGCTCTTATGAGCACCTTAAACTCATTAGATCTTGATTATCCATATCTCATTTGAATGGTTCAGATTTGATTTTTTACCTTTATTTGTTTAAAACAATTATTTTAATATTTATTATATAATCTAAAATTAAGATAATCTCTTAACTATCATTTTTTTCAAAAAATTTATGACATTGCTGTTATTGATGGTAAAAGGAAACCAAGGCACCATGTATAATACAATTAACATGGGAAATTTTGTTTATATATTGTATTAATTGTACGAAATTCGCAATTAAGATTGGGTTTGATTGCACACCCCTTAAGAATTTCACCTTTCCATATCTGAATTCAAATTTCGCATTAACTTATTTGTTCTCTAATAATTGATGGATTCACGATTGCTAATTACCAACATTATGAAGGCATGCTAGAAGCATCCTTTTCTTTCCCTTGGAACTAAAACATGTAACTGTAATCATTTATTAAAATATGTACGCAAGAATTATCACCTGTCATCATCCACTGATCGGAGGGAGTGGATGATCAGAAGTGCGAAAAGCCTCCATATTGGAATGTTCTAATTAATCTAACTAAATCTGAAACATGAACATTATTGGACCTCATATTTAAAACTGGAGGGAGTATATATTATTATATACTTTCTATGTGGTTTAGTTAAAAAAGATGTTAGAGTTTTAATCCTTCATGATTCGGTCAGAGACAAATTTTGGTCTAATTCTATTTTCATTTTCCTTAGTAATTTAAATAGAATCTAGCCAATAATATCGAACAATATCCTCCTACACAAATTAATAAAACTGGGAAGAAGATTGGGATGAAAATGATGAAAATTAAAATAACATAAAAAAGCCTTACTTTTTATTAAATAACCTATCTCCACTTTCTCGTGTTCCAAAACTTTTAGAAACAAAATGCTTGAGAACTTGGAAAATTTGTTAAAGTGATAAAGGCAAAAGCCACACAGAGCCTCACCTTCCAAGTTATTTTCACACCCACTAAAAAGTGAAAACGTATTGTGTTGCAATAATTATTAACCTGGGTTAGTGGCTACCCCAAGAAGGGGAAGGGGAAAAAAAAAACAGGGTTGTTTTTCTGCTTTTACCCCTGCGATGCACAGGACATTTTTGGAATTTTGTAAGGGTTCAATTAAATGATAAAAATGTACTTTCCTTTTGTGATTTAATAAAAAAAAAAATTAGAGTTTTTATCTCATTTATAAATGAGTCACCATTCAATTAGTAAACCAATATTAGATTTCCTTAATATCATTATTAAACAGATGATGGTACGTATGAAATTAAAATTACACCTCTAATGTTTTTAAATGCCATTAATATTCTCATTAAAACTTGTTATTAGCCCACACATATTTTATTTCATAACTAATTATTCTGTGTGCCTGTGCATTATAAGTTAATTAAGTAACAACTTGCTACTTCTCTGGTTCTATTTATAAGACACTTCCAACATGTTTCACACAGACTAAAGAAAACCTTAAACTGCATTAATTCTTCATTAAAATATAGTAACTTTTTAACTTCACCCATATTTAGTATATACACCTTTCAAAAAAATAATTATCTACACTATAATAAATAAAGAACAATATAGTACATTCATGGTAAAAATTTAATGAAGTGGCTTATAAATAGAACAAAAAAAAACTTCTCTCTCTGCCCTATAAATAGAATCAAAGGAGTATTTTCTTACTATTTAAAATCTGTTATTACCCTCATTAATGACTACGCAAGTGGCAAAAGCCTCATAAATCTAAGCTCTTAACAATATTTTCTCACACAAACAGCCTAGATGGAATCCCGACAACATGTTAATTTGAAGGACCCAGCTATTTACCAAAGATTTTGATGAGAGCCTTTGTCGTTCACCTTGGGGTTCCCAATAAAAAATAAATCCAAGCAATGCAATATAATGCAAAACTCGGGTCGTTTCACTTTGAGGAGCCTTTATTTGAAATCCTAAGCAACTAAGTATAAAAAAAAAAAAAGAATTGACTTGAAAAGGGATTGATTTTCTTGTCCTGATTGGCAAAATTTAAAAGGATGCAAAATGAGTAAATAATTTTTAGATTTTTAGTTTATAAAATGGATATGAATGAGATAAACAAAAAGAATTAACAAGTGATAGCAAATGGAAAAGCAATCCTCTAGCACAATGATTAAGGCTATCATTACTTCAATTAATTTGGGAGTTAGCTAAATTCAAAAGACTCTAAGGGCCACCCTGTAGACTCGGTTTAATTAGAATAATCAACACCAAGCCACCTTGCATATTAATTATTCACAATTAAATTGTTTCAGCACAATTAGCCAAAAAGAAAATCAAAGAAAAGCAATTAACATTTTTAGTCCAATAACCAAGCCACCTTGAATTACCACTAAATATTCACAATAATTTCAAAACATAGTCTGACCCAGTACAATGTAAAGAAATTAAAGCTAATCACAGCATAATGTTAAATGCTAATCAAAGATTCCAACAACTACAACCAATCTCAATACAAATATAAATCATCACAGCCCATTCAAATATTATAAAATTCATTCTAAGACCTAGAAATCACAATTATAATGAAAGTGTTATGAATATTATAATATGTGGATGTCCATATCCTCTTCTTCCTCTTCCTCTTCCTCTCAACTTCATCATCAACTCCCACTACTTCCACTAGACATTAATCTTCCACTACTCCATTACCTTTCCACTATGCCTTTAATCTTGTAACTCCCCCCACTCATATTCATATGATTTATTGTCCACTATCTATCATTTAAGTACAAATGTAACTTATGTGTGAGACTATGCCTATAAATAAGGCATGTCATTGTATTGTGAAGCAAGTGAAGCAAGTAAAGGAATACAATATCATTCTCTCATTTTCTTGTCTACTTCTCTTCTCCAATCTACTTTCATTGTTGGTTAATTTCATAACACGTTATCAGCACGAGACTCTACCATCAGAGTTCATGGCTCCTAGTTGATACAGGTTGAGGTTTTGTTCGTTGAATGAAGATAGTTTGATCCGAACAGTTTGGTAAGATTTCTCCAATTTATTTAGAGGAAATGGTGGTTTTGCATATTAACCATATTGATTCATTGGCAATCGAATATTTTATTCATCATATTGAGATATGAAAATTTTTATTTTTATTTCTTTTCTTATATTTTTATGATCCTACTATCCTTAATACTCCTTGATTTGCTATGAGGTTTATGTTTATCTATAAAATTACTATATATGATTATCATCTCTGATATTGATTAATTTTTGTCTTGGAAAGTAGAATGTTAAACATATAAATGAATGGCTAATAGCCATTATATTCTTGATTTTGTGATTAGATGGCCAGAAGCCATATCACATTTTGATGAATATTTGATAAAAGACCATCTTGTGATAGTAACAGATGGCATGACAAGATTGTCACAATTTGATAATCTATATCAAAGTCCTAAAGATTGATGGTTAAAAATGAAACGATACAAAAGAACTTCGTAGTTCTGAAAAATTTTTTATAGTCCGGAAGACTAATATTTGAGAAAATTGATGGTGTAATATTGAAAGCAAAGAATATATTCATAAGAGTGATAAAGAGTATGATCACATTCTATCAGTGGAACTGATAACTAAAAGGACAATAATCTTGGGGCTTGACTATTGAATCATAACAACAGAATTAGTAATAGCCCTA